CACACACGCACGTACAAATTGTTTCCTTTTCACGGTACTTCTAAAATGTACTTATCAAATGTATAAAAAAATGTTGAATATTTGTCATAATTTGCCATACTTTGTTCTTTTTTTCCTGCCGTTCTACTCCTACTCATATTCTGTTAAAACTACACATCTCTCATATCTTTCATATACACACACAGAAGCAGACTTCCCCCGACCCACTGTTTGTCTTGTCTGCTGTGCGCTCCTGTCTTTAACAGTGTGCTTTACAAAAATGGGGGACAAAGAGTTTTGTCCATTGCTGTTATTTTGTGTCTCCAGTTCCCCTACATGCCCATGTACCATGAGGCCCTCCACAATAGCAGTAAATGATTAAAAATAAAGATGAAGTAATAAACAGGAAGTGAATCAGAACTGATTTTTGATCTGTAACTATAACTGGTAATACATTAACAGAGTATGTTTACCAGTGATACATTTGACGATTCTGAACATGCCCCCATTGTTAAGAAACACCTCGTCGTTTTGTCTTCTTTTAAACCGAAGTCCGAGAATGTAAACTGAGACTTCTGAGTAAACAAAGGGGGAAGCTTAGAGCAGCTACTGGGTTGCTGTACAAAGAATTAAAGGCCCAAGGGATTCAGTTTCCTAGCAACATGTCACAATTCCCACTACCTCCCATTCTGGTGTTATGTCCACAGGGAGGAGGGTGTACAGGTAAACATGAACCTGCTCCTCCTCCATCGGGATGCAAAGCCACTCCACAGAGAAAACCTACTGCTTCCTACAGCAGTCACACTGTGTCCGCACACTATTGCTCTTCTGAGCTTGGATGAGTAAGTGAAGAACAGGATGGCAAACTCAGCACTGGAGATTGTGGGTCTTTTAGTATCCCTAATCGGGCTGATCGGGGCAGCAGCAACTACAGGAATGCCTATGTGGCGCGTCACAGCCTTCATTGGAGACAATATCATCGTGTTTGAGACTCTGTTTGAGGGCTTGTGGATGAACTGCTACCAACAGGCAAGCTTCAGGATGCAGTGTAAAGTGTACGACTCTCTCCTGGCCCTGACTCCTGACCTGCAGGCAGCAAGGGGGCTTATGTGCTGCTCTCTGGCACTGAGTGGTCTTGGTGTGCTGATCAGTCTGATAGGCATGCAGTGCACATCATGCATCCAAAACAATGATCGAGCTAAGCGGCTGGTTCTCATCATTGCTGGTAGCATGATCATATTGGGTTGCTTCTGTGTCCTCATCCCCGTCTCCTGGACGGGTCACGTCATCATCACTAACTTCTACAACCCCTTGCTGATCGATGCCCAGCGGAGAGAGCTTGGAGCAGCTCTCTACATTGGCTGGGTAACTTCGGCTTTCTTGTTTGCTGGAGGATGCATTTTTATTTGCTGTAATATACAGTCGGATGACAAAGATTCAGAGCGATACCTATACTCCAAGGCCTCAGACTATTCGGTCTACCCTCAACAGCCACTACAGCCTCTACAGCCTCAACAA